CCAAGAGACCATTGTATTGAAAATCAAGAGAGAGAGAGAGAGAGAGAGGAAGCCATCAAGCTACTAACTACGGACCCGAAGGTCTACTATGAACTACTCACGCATCATCAGAGAGGCACCAATGAGGATGATGAACCCCTTTGTGATGGTGTCTAGATTGGATTTGTGGTTTCTGGAACTTGTGGCGGCTGGAATTGTGTTTCATCGACTCCCCAAGGATTTTTGGATTTTTGGGGTATTTATAGAGTAAAGAGGCGGTGCGGGAGGCGGCCGAGGTGGACGGAACCCACCAGGGCGTGCCTGGGCCCCCATGCGCGCCCAGGTGGGTTGTGCGGCCCTCGGAGCCCCCCTCTGGTACTTCCTTCACCCATCGTGTGTCTTCTGGTCCAAAAAAATCTTCAAAAAGTTTTGCTGCATTTGGACTCCGTTTGGTATTGATTTTCTGCAAAGTAAAAAATAAGCAAAAAACAGCAACTGGCACTGGGCACTATGTCAATAGGTTAGTCCCAAAAAATGATATAAAATTGCTATAAAATGATTGTAAAACATCCAATATTGATAATATAACAGCATGGAACAATAAAAAAAATTATAGATACGTTGGAGACGTATCAGCATCCTCCCGTCACTCCCTCCAACGCGCAACCTGGGTACTGCATTCAGCAACGCAAGTGTGAGCAGAGGAGGCCGACTCAATGTCGAATGCACCAGTCATCAGCCGGAGGCACTAGGGGAGGCTTGCGCTCCTCCCGACAAGGGTGAAGGCGATAGTGTCGGGGACGCAAACGACGGAGCTCGGCGTAGGAGGAGGCTGACGTAGGGGTTGGTTGGGAAAAAGAGATGGCAGTGGCGTGGGGTTGGCGGCATGAGGGTAATCGAGGGGGGGAGGGGGGTAGACCATAGAGAAGAGATGCACGCGCAGGGCGAGGGGGGCACGACTAGGAACCACAATGGGCGGTGGTACCTTTATATGTGGGAGAAGTGAAATTCCATTCCTACCACCGACCAAACGAAGGAGTGGCCCATCATTGCCATCTGTAAAAATATTGAACAACTCAGCTTGATTCATGAAATATCCAATGACTCACATCAACCTGTGTCGAGATCTAACAGCCTGTATTGCTAGGTAAAACAGATCCAAATGGCCAAATGATGTGAATGTGGAAGCTTCAGTTTACTCAGCTCTCTAACTACGTGATATGAGGCAGTTGTACTTTCTTAAAGAAAAATACTCTAATTTTTATCAAAATATTTAAGGAAAACGCTCAGCGTCAACTGGCTGAAAAGTGACGCCACGTACACCGCCTTCTCTGCGCAACATGTGCCCATGTGGGCTCACGCATGTCTCCACCTTTTCTCATTCTCGAAACAATGCCCCAACTGCATGGTCCTGCCCAAGACTCTCCTCTCCCTCTCTCATCTCTCCTACCCTGCTGCAGATCGGGCGTCGATTGCCGGCTGCTGCTCAC